ATCTTGCTTTTAACCTTTAAGCTGTCCTTACTCATTCCTGGGCACAGGCTGAACTAACCTTGGGAAGGAATTCAGTTTACAGTTTGACTCTGACACAAAATTGGCAATAGCCCTTTCCCACAAAGACCCCCGTCTTGCCTGGGACCAGTCAGCCTTTGTAGGAATAACAAATTAGCTATAAGATTAGAAATTATGATTTAGGAGTCATGTAACCACTGGCTTTAAGAGTCTGAGCTTCCCCAAATTGCTCCTGGGGATACATCACTATTGTAAAACCTAAAATCAGTGCTTGAGATATTTTGCAGACCCTGTACTGGATGGATCAGCTGACACCACCCAGACCAGTAATCTGGATCAACTAGTTCTGTGATCACACCCAGGAACAGAAGACAGCAAGAAAACCTCACTTCGGCCCCCTAGGATTCCATCTCCAAGCTGACCAATCAGCACTCCACACTTCCCGAGCCCCCACCTGCCAAATTATCTTTAAAAATTTCTATCTCAAATGCTCAGGAAGACTGATTTGAGTAGCAATAAAACTGTGGTCTACTGCACAGCTGGCTTTGTGTGAATTACTCTTTCTCCATTGCAATTTCCCTATCTTGAGAAATAGGCTCTGTCTAGGCAGCAGAAAAGGTAAACCTGTTGGGTGGTTACAACATGAACAGACATTTCTAAAAAAAAAAAAAAAAATGACATACAAGTGGAAAAAACTCAAGAAAAAAACACTCAATATCACCAATCATCAGAAAAGTGCAAATTAAAACCACAATGAGATATCTTACACCAATCAGAATGACCAGTCAAAAAAACACTACTCTGAATGAATCTGTGAGGCCAGTATTGTATTTCTACACCTTGGGCTTATCCCATCCTCACTGCTTCCACTCCCTACCATCTACGTGAATGTTTACTTGATTTGATGCCAGTTTTGCTATCAGATGTTGGCATGAATGTGGAGAAAAGGGGAGACTTACACACTGCTAGTGGGAATGCAAATTAGTACAACCTCTGTGCAAAACAGTATGGAGACCTCTCAAATAACTAAAAATATAACTATCATTGAATCAGCAATCCCAATAGTGGACATCTACCCAAAAGAAAAGAAAACATTATATGAAAAAGTCTCCGGCACTTGTAAGCTTATTGCAGCACTATTCACTGTGGAATATTACACAGCCATAACAAAGAACGAACTCATGTCCTTGAGGCAACATGAATGAAGCTGGAGGTCACTATTCCAGGTGAAATAACTCACAAAAGAAAATCAAATACTGCATGCTCTCGCTTACAAGTGGGAACTAAATAATTGACACATGGGGACATATAGATGGAAATGACAGACACTGGGGACTCCAAAGGGCAGGGGGGAGGTTGGGACGGAGGTAGGAGTTGAAAAATTACTTCTTAGGTACAATGGTCACTATTTGGGTGTTGGGGACACTAGAAGCTCAAATCTCACCATTGTGCAATATATTCATACAACAAACCTGCACATGTATCTGTGAATCTAAAATTAAAAACAAAACAACTTTTAGAGGTTTATTCTGTGCTGTCAGAGTCTCCTTAGTCCATAGACTGTCTTGTCTTTTATTAATTGTTGACATGAACCATTTTCACGTTACTTTGCATTACAAGAATAGCCTTCTCTAAATGTTTCTCACTCAAAGAAGCAGCTTTGCAGTCAGCCAAACCCAAGTTCAGATCCTGCCTTTACAATAATCAATCTTGCCAAAATATGTGACCTTTCAAAATTCAATTTTTAAAATCTGTAAAAAGGGGACATTATTCCTCCAGCACAGTGTTTCTGTGAGGATTAACTGGGTTTTGTAGGTAAAGCACCCAGCACGATGTCTGGCTTATTGCATGCGTTCCCCAGGGTAGCTCTGATACTTCAAATTTATTATCATTCAGATAGTGCTATTTGGTAAATAGGTAATTTTACATACAGGAAAAGCATATTTTGGAAGCAAAATAATACTCTAAATCAATACCAAAATAAAAATACATAAATGTGTCCCAGAATAAAGGGTTTTCCAAAATATCAGAAGTGATCAGGAGGAAAATCACACTTGAAATACTACTTACAGCACTTTCTTTTGTATTCATGAAACAATTCATCTAATACATTTTGTTATTCTGATCTGAGTAACTGTATATACCTAAAGCAGTAAAATTATGTCTATTTAAGATAGTTTTATAACTGAGAATTTTCACTGATTTAGTATGGTTTTGTCCACCTTCCCTGCCCACAGTTACTTTGAAATTTAAAAATTTTACTTCACATAACAGACCAATTATAACAAAATGTTACATATCTGTAAACACTTTCACATAACTTATCCACTTAATCTAGAAAAGCAGGATCCAGCAGTGGGGAAATTCTAATCAGAAACTACAAGACCAGATTAGTGTTTTTGTTAAAAAGGTAGCAGTATGAGGCCAGGTACGGTAGCTCACAACTGTAATACTAGCACTTTGGGAGGCCGAGGTGGGTGGATCACAAGGTCAGAAGTTTGAAATCAGCCTGGCCAAAGAGACCATCCAGGCCAACATGGTGAAACCCTGTCTCTACTAAAAACACAAAAATTAGCTGGGTGTGGTGGCAGGTGCCTATAATCCCAGCTACTTGGGAGGCTCAGGCAGGAAAACTCTTGAGCCTGGGAGGTGGAGGTTGCAGTGAGCTGAGATCGTATCGTACCATTGCACTCCAGCCTGGGCAACAGAGCAGGACTCCAACTCAAAAAAAAAAAAAAAAAAAAAAAATGCAGCAGTATGAGAGGTGCCCCAACTCACCTATCCTTCCCTGACTGCAGTCTCTATATGCACATCTAAATCAGCATGTGCTGTTGTATCTCACCTTTCTTCTACATTCTTGACTCTATGGAGGAGGGGACGCTAAGGGACAGACTAAGAGAGGTGAGCCTGGAGAGGCTTACAAATGAGCGCAGGAGTTTCACGGGAAGGGTGGGTGGGACACAGCACCAAGTGGCTGCTCACTTTGTAGTACGAAAAGACAGAGTTTCAAAGTACTGTCATACCCTAGCTCCTGTTACTTCACAAAGTTCAGCCAAAGAGTCATCAAACAAGGTCCTTTGAAATAGAATCATTAACATTTCTTCTAAGAAGAAGGCCATCATCCCTTGGCATGTGCCTGGGAAGTTTAAGCAAATTGTAAAGAAGAAGAATGAAAACAACTTTTTTCTGGGTGATCAATAGCACTTATAGTTTGCATGAGAATGTGCATATGTGTGTGTGTATGTGTGTGCATGTGTGCGTGTGTGTGTGTACATGTGTGTTTTGGAGTATAGCCTCCCTGTATAACCCAATAATTTAATTTGACAAAAGGAGACCCGACATTCAAGGTTAGGGTGAGGGTTGTTTTCAAAGAAGCCAAAATTCCTCAGATTTGGGGAACCTCCTGAATCTCTACCCCTGAACACAGCAGTGGCCTTGGATGTCGGCTGTGTGGGTGCCTTGTGAGGAGAGGAGTTTATTCAGTTCCACTAACCAATAAAACAGGGCTTCGTGTTGGCTGGTTAAGCCAGCTACCAGCACTTGCTCTTTTCTGACATCGTCTTTCCTGGGTAAAGAGGACCCAGAGGAGCAGCAGGGTCCTTCCAGAGGAATGCACTGGCAACACTGAAAAGATCAGAGTCACCCAGCAATCCCATTACTAGGTATATATCCAAAGGATTATAAATTGTTCTACTATAAAGACACATGCACATGTATGTTCACTGTGGCACTGTTTACAATTGCAGACTCGGAACCAACCCAAATGCTCATCAATGACAGACTAGATAAAGAAAATGTGGCACATATACACTATGGAATACTATGCAGCCATAAAAAGGATGAGTTCGTGTCCTTTGCAGGGACATGGATGAAGCTGGAAACCATCATTCTCAGCAAACTGACACAAGAACAGAAAACCAAACACCACATGTTCTCACTCATAAGTGGGTGTTGAACAATGAGAGCATATGGACACAGGAAGGGGAACATCACACACCAGGGCCTGTTGGAAGGTGGGGGGCTAGGAGAAGGATAGCAGGGGATGGGGGGATTGGGCAGGGATAACATTAGGAGAAATACCTAACGTAGATGACGGGTGGACGGAGGCAGCAAACCACATTGCCATGTGTATACCTATGTAACAATCCTGCAAGATCTGCACATGTACACCAGAAGTTAAAAAAAAAAAAAAAAAAAAAGATCAGTTTTCAAACAAAAAAGCGCCAAAATTTCCATTCTCAGCTCTCCATGCTACACAGGGATCTAGGTTTACAGAAATACTCCCTCTGTTCCCCAAATACAAAAAACATCTAAACTAGGCTGGGCTTGACAAAGTGGTCTAAATCCTTGACAATCCAAGAATGGTTCTTGGCATCGCGTGGGTTTGTTAAAACCCAGACCAAAAATGGAATGTGACTTTCACAAAACTCCCAGTGATTTGATACACACTGGCCCAAGCATCTCCTAGGCACTGTGGGAACTTGACCACTGGCTAACAGCCCCAGCTCCATGACTGCACTCAACTTCTTTGATACTCCTAGACCATCATTCAGAGGAGTTGATGTTTTTTGAACATCCTTGATTTTTAAGCAAACACGAACCCTGAAGCCTCAGAGGGGAGCCTTAGTTTTTTCTCCTATGGTTCTAAGATAAACTCATTTTTTACAAATATGAAAAGGAGGGGAAAACTGTACATCATTTTGCTATGTGGTCTGTTGTGTGACTGTGAAAGAAAACTGACCTCAGACTTCCCAAGGATGATGCAAAAATAAATCCTCTGTTGAGCTCTAGGACATAGAAACAGCTGGTGTCCCTGTTGATGCCTCTAACTTCCCAGGGGCTGGGAAAACCGCAGGAGGAAAGCCTGGGATTAGCTGTTTTCCAGGCTGTCCTTCCACACGGCATCCAGGTCAAGAGAGTCCTCATGAGGCAAGCACAGATATGCAGCTCCCTCTGTCCTTCAGAAGGGCCACGATACTCACAGAGGGTCCGGATGATGTCGCTGGGCCAGCTGCGGGGGCTGGGGCCATGGGAATTCATTGCCCTCACGGCAAACTGGTAGTTGGTATCTGGATCGAGGCCCTTGATAACCATGGAGTCCATCTGGATCCGTTCATGGATTAAGGTCCACCTCTTGTCGAAATCTGGCCTTTATTAATTAGAAAAAAAAGAAGCAGTAGTTCAGAAATACCAGAGGAAAGAGAAGCTAGCCGGCTGTGTAAACTAACGGTATTTGAACTCTGGGAGCAATACTTGTAAAGGTAAGTTAACATTTCCTATGTGAAAGTCATCCTGATTTGAAATCACAAGTCATCATTTGCAAGTCCCTGCCGATAAAAACGTAGATTATTTTCAGGGTCAGTTTTAAACGCTGCTTAAAGACCATCCGCTTTTCCTTGCAAGGCCCTCTATATGATGAAAAGATCTTCACATAGGAATTCACTTTCAAGGACTCTGCCTTCCAGATGTTTCATAAACAATCCTCCCTTTGACAGTCTCCATCCCCAGAGGTCAGAAGAACATAGATTCCATCTATTCACAATCTGTTCACAAAATAAACAAATTTAAGTTTTATAGGGTGACTAATTGCATGAATTGCCATGGGAAAACCCAAGAAGAATCTGTTCATGGACATTTTTAGTCTTAACAAATTATACAACTATGCCAACTCGTGCTGAATTTTTACATGTCCTTCGGAGGACCCTACAGAGAAGGCAGACCTTTGCTTGGAGCTCCCATGTGGGAGGTAATATACAGAAGGTGGGAGGATGAGCTCTGGAGTTCAAACCCTGACTCTTCACTAGCTGCTACTTAATTTCTTTAAGACTCAGTTTTCCCATCTGTAAAATGGGAATAATAAAAGGACCTACCTAAGTAAACTGCCATGAAGATCAAATAAGATATGTATCTCCAGGCTAGTACCCGGAATCAAATTGTAAACACTCAGCAGGTACCAGTCAAGGGATTTATTCATAGAACTAGTAACTTACAGCTGCCTGCTTTCTGTATACCTGCATGATCCAGTATGGTACCCCATGTGGTACCCCATGTGGTAGTCAGCACTTGAAATGTGTCTGAATTGAGATGTACTATAGTGTAAAATGTAAAGAAATTTAAAGAAAAAAATATGAAATATCTCAATTTTTATATGGGTTGTATGTTAAATGAGTATATGTTGGATACAGCAGGTTAAAATATATTATTGAAATTCATTTCATTTCTTTCTTGTTACCCTTTAAATGCCACTCTTAGAAAATGTAAACTTTCACATAGGCTTGCATTGCCTTTCTACTGGATAGCGCTGCTCTACATGGACATCCCAGTTGCAGGGGAGAAAAAAGCGCATTCCAGGTAATAAGAACTACAAGATAAACGTCAGAAATAATTGTGCATGGCCTGAGGATAGTGTGAATGGCCTAAGTGGAGCAGAGGTTTTGTGTTAATGGCTAATAACATCAAGGGCTTTCCACCTACCAAGCACTATTCTAATACCTTAACTCATTTACTTCTCAAAATGCCCTATGCAGTAAGTACTAATATTAAACACCCCCACCTTTTTTTTTTTTTTTTTTTTTTTTTTTGACAGAGAAGGGAACTAAGGCACTGAATGGGTAAGTAACTTGCTCAAGGTCACATAGCTGATAAAAGGTGAGGCCAACCTGGATTGGTAAGATGAGGTTAGATTTAGAAGCCCCTTAATAATGGATGGAGAAGCCCCTTAATAATGGATGGAAAACTGGACTGATGGTGGGTGAGAGGCTATTTCCAATCCCTTTGCTCGCTCCCTGCCCACCTCTCGGGTGTTCTGTTGTTAAATGCCTCTGCTCACAGATATTTAGAGGAAGGCAGGAAACAAAAAAGTTCTGTTTGTCTTTGATGAACAACTTGCCAGGCAAGGAAATAGAGATTCATTTTGCTAAAAGAAGATGCCGGGGTGAACAGCGGATTTCTTTATCTGAGCTCACCCAGTTTTTCATTAGCAGGAATGATTGAAAGCCAGATGGAGTCCTTACACCCAGTAAATGATGCTTCCTCAAACTCACAGAGCTGGGGGTAGTGTGTTAATGTGTTTGGAAAAGCAGAGTTCACAGGGTATACCCACGGAGGAAGCAGGGCTGGTTTCTCTTTCCTGATATCCTTTCCCCAAAGATGGAATTCTCATGTAAACTAACTTTATCATCAAAGAGAAAAACCCATGAGTAGAAGGAAGCACATTTACAAACTCAAATTAGAACAAAATCACTTTGCAGAGGAAAACCACAGGGGATACCTAAAAGTAAAGTCAGAAAAGATATGATCTTTAGATAAAACCCTCCTATTAACCTTTGCTAAGCTTCCCTTGTGATATTTAGAAGGAAATAACCCATATCTATTCTCAGAGTGTGCTGTTATTTACCCAGGACTACCCACAAATACCTGCAACAGTCTTCATGTAGAAACTACAGGAAAACAAAAAGGAGATTATTTTGTACATGTTGTCCATTTAATGCAGAAAAGAAAAACTTATTTCCAGCAAATAAGAGATTGAAATCATTAGCATTTATTTGTATTCTATAGAGCAAGAGAGATGAGCTCATGCAGATTGAATGCCACCTCAAAACCTTTAACATTTTGCCTCTGATTTTGTCGTGTTTTTTATTGGAATGTTTTTAGAGTCTCTAAGTACAAAAGTACAAAGGTGAGGCTGAGAAAGAGATGACCAGGCAAAAGAACTGTCTTAAATCATCCCCAAAAAAATCTTTATCTTTTTTTGACTAAAGAAAATTACTTTATCCTAACTACAAAGTTGTTGGTCAGATCACCATAGCAACACTAGTAAGTTAACTGAGAATGGGCTGCCACACCCCAGGAACAGATGGACAGCTGGCCGGGCAGGGTGGCTCAAACCTGTAATCCAGCACTTTGGAAGGCTGAGGTGGAAGGATGGCTTGAGCCAAGGGGTTGAAGACCAGCCTAGTCAACACAGTGAGACTGTCTAACTATGTTTAATTAAAAAAAAAAAATAGCCAGACATGGTGGTGCACACCTATAATCTCAGCTACTAGGGAGGCTGAGGTGGGTGGATCGCTTGAGCCCAGCAGTTCAAGACCAGCCTGGGCAACATAGTGAGACCTTGTTCTCTTCAGAAAACTTAAAAAAAAAAAAAAGTTGGGTGTGGGAGGATTGCTTGAGCCTAGGAGGTTTAGGCTGCAGTGGGCTGTGATCACACCAATGTACAATGCCTGGTGACAAAGTGAGACCCTGTCTCAAAGAAAAAAAAAAAAAAGACATGGACAGCCATCATCAGGGCATACACTTCAAGCATTTTGCCAGTAGTGAGATAGGGTTGAGCCAGGCACCCTATACTTCAGGAGATCAGTGGCTCCCCTTTAGAAGGTTGCTGGGCAGGAGAGTTCAGGTGTGGGATAGAGAATGCGGCTCTTAGAAATTGTATCCAAGATTTTATACATGAACGTATTTTATTTTTCTAAGTAAAGGGTCCTTCACATTTATTAGATCCTCAAAGATAAAATCATGATCCCAAAAGCTTTGAGAGTGACCAATCTGATACGGTCTCTCAGTCTATCCACATGGTCACTGAAGGAAAATAATTTACCCAAAGTCACAGAACCAGTGGGTGGCACATCTTTCTGTTATTATGACTACCTTGCCCATTGCCAATCTCAACCTTAGTGAACAATCATTTTTCTTGATACCACCAAACCCATAGGTAGCCGCCATGGGCTAGTCAATTGGCAAATGAGGAATGATTATCAACCAGGCACCATCACAGAAGTTATATTCCAGGAGGCTCCAAAGAAGTATAAGCACAGTTCCATTCCAGGATGGAATCTAATAACCTGGGGATACAATACACCAGGAAGTTTATAATCTAATAACCTGGAGATATAATACATCTGAGCATCAGTGCAGAAACAGTACTTCTAAGGACCAGCAGGAAGCCAGCGCAAAATAGCACATTTCAAGAGCTGTATTTGAATAGGTCATTGTGAACTAGAATCCTGAGGGAAGTCTATGAGGACCAGGAAGAATTTAACTTAGATTTTGAATGTATTTGGGCATAGATAACTGAAAAGGAATGGTGGAGGAGAGACCAGAGCAGCATCAGCTCTGTGTGTGACATAAGCTTATTAAGTGCTAATTAAATGCAAAATATCAAGTGAGTTATCTAAAAAGAGTATGTGATATCAGTCCCTGATATGAATCATCTATACAAAAGATGTGTACAGCTTATAAAAACATTAGCCATTCGTAGGTAAACAAGTATTTGGTGGTGCCTCTCTGCGTACACACGTAGTCAAGGCTTCCTTGTCAACCTCTGCCTGACCAAATTAACCAGTGATCTGCCTTTGTTTTCACCAATTGAGATACTGGCTTATCAAGGTCAGTTGTGTTTATTTCCAAACCTGTTTATGATGTTTGTATTTATTTTAATTGTTATTTAACTTCATAGTTGATAAACCAGAGGCATATGAATACAAAAATACAAGGGATAGCTATGTGAAATGTTTTTGAAAGACTTTGATAAAGCTGAATCACTTAAAAAACTAGATAAATGTGAGACAAATGCAAAAGACTGGGGGAAATTATAAAATTCTAGAAGAATTCTGCAGTCAGCTGCAAATAACTAAGTATTTTGGTTCACTTGAAAAAAACTTTAGGTAGAAATTGCAGGTAATACTTGATAGGTATAGTTTGTGCAAGAATATCAGTGGGGTGCTCAAAACAGTGGGCCCACATTCAAAGAAAAGACCTTAGCCCTATATTAAACGAATGGCAAATTGATGCATATTTACAGAATTTATCTAAAAAGAAGAGTGTCAAGGTATTATGTATCATTCAAAATACATGGTTTCTGACTTTAACTGACTTGAAAGACTTCATTGAAGGTCATGGGAGAAATGGTTAAGAAAGGCTAAACGTTCCTAGATGTTCTGCCTCTCTTCCAGATAAATGTTGAAAACTAGTTACTATTGTTTGAATGGGTTTCTAAATTATGAGCCTGCCACATGTCTCAGAGAGGCTCGAATGGGTGAACAGGCAGATGAGAAGGTGGGAAGGACTGTCCCAAGAATGATTCAAGTGGTTAAGAGGAAGAAAAAATTGATAGGATAAAAAGTCTTCAAGGGAGGATGGAATGCTCAGCTC